AGCCCAATGCATTCGAACAGGACACAAAAAGGCAACCAGGAACAGACCGTGTGCTCTTTTGGTTTATTTTTTTTAAATATCTGCAGCATCACCAAATAGATTAATAAGGAATCGTATTCAGGGCCATAGCTGGCGGGTGGTAAGGTGGGCCCCTGGCCAGGGGGCGCAAGTGAGGGGCGCGAAAAATCGCTAAAAAATATGTCTATGATCACATGGCATGGGCGTATTTTGAATGGCAATGCCCATGAACTGCGGGGAGGAGGGCTGTCCCCTCAAATATTTAAGGGACGGGAGCAAAGTACCTCCGGCCCCTAGGAGTTGGGCTCCTATGTATGCGATATGATGGAGGTCGGATTCATGGGGGGTGTTTTGGCAGGCTTTGGCGGCTTCCTCCCCGCCCTAACTAGAGTTGCAATTCTACACCCCTCCCCCCCCCCCCAAGCACCGGGGCAGGCACCATTCGACTTGGCACGTGGGCAAGGCTTCCTCCACCATCCGTCCACGTGTCGCGGAAGAGCCCTTTGTTCCCCTCCCCTCGGGCGGCGTCTATTTGGGCCTCCTCCGCCCCGGGGCTGCAATCCTACACCCATTTACCCGGGAGTAAGCCCCACTTAATCCAACGGGGACTGACTTCCGAGTAGACAGGCACAGGCATGTGGCTCTGCGGCGGCAGGGCTGCCTTCTTCTTCTTCTCGCCTCGGCCGCCTCAAGTTACAGAGGCCCCCGAGGGGAGGCGAGGAGAGGTGCTGCGCCTCCCAGGCGGCTGCAAAAATGCGCTTTTTTTGGCAAAAGGCAACCCCCCCCCCCCCCGCCATTTCCTCTTTAGCCGGCTCCAGCTGCCATTTCTTCCTCCTCTTTTTTTTTTTTTGCCCCAGAACCTCGTTTTGGTTTTTTCCTCCAGGAAGAAAGTGAAGAAAGACCAAAGAAAGGGTGGGTGGTGGGAATAAAGCTCACCTCAGCTGCAAGGAGTCTGGTCGGCGCCCGAAGAGCGCTGTCTGCCAGCTGCCGTCTCCCTGCAAAACCTTCAGGGGAAGAGGCGGAGCAAGGGCCGGGGCCGGCGCCGTAGAAACCAAGCCGGGAGGGGAGCAAAGGAGGCGGGCTTGGTCGTCGGCTGCCTCCTCCTCCCTCCTACTCCGCTGTAGGTCCCTCGCCGCCGCTTTGGTTTTTGCATCTGAGCAGGTGGTGGTTCCCCGCTCACCCCAGGATCCCGAGTGGAGGGGGGAAAGCATGCCAGCAGCTATTTCTGTTTTTTCTCTCCCAAGAGTGGAGGAGAAACCCAGTCTGAACAATATGCAGCACCCAAAGCAACCCGGAAGAATGCTTATCCTCAGAACTTCGTTGAAATGAATGGACCTGAGTTATATAGGGCAACCCTAGTCGTGTCCGTTACTTAGACAGTAAGTCCTATAGAATTCAGTGGGGCTTGCTCCCAGGGACAGTGGGGATGGGTGCAGCCTCAGTCACGTTCGTAAGGGTGACAACAGGACTACTCCATTGGATACAAGGAAGGGATTTTAATCTGCATGGGGGCCAGGGGGCTGATGGGAGCCGATAGGGATTTTGACAGGTGGGTGCTCCTGCCCACCTGTCAGATTTGGCCTACACATTTGGGCCTGTGAGGCAGATCCTTATAAAGATCTAGCCTGTGGATCCTAAAAGGTTCTTCCACCTGCTCTAACTAGGGAGAGCCCATCAGTACAAGCCTGCCTCTCTGATGCAGAGGGGAAGCTTGATAAAATCTGATAAAACATGCTTTGTAGCAGACTGTCTGGATTCCCATTTTTTAAACAACGCAACTTAAAAGTCCCTCTGCCTTTTTGCCAAGAACATGTAAACTGTGCTATGATGTGCTTTTGCTTTTTCCACCAAGCCCAAGCATGTACTTTGCTTTCCACAGTATCACAGGCTTCTTCAGTGTAATAATTTCATGAGGTATTTTTGCTCCCATTAATATGTTGCAGCCTTTAACCACTTCCTCCAATCACTCCTCAAATTGATTTATTTACAAAGGAGATCCATTACTTCTCCCACGCCTACCAATAGTTAAGGAACCCACACATCCCCAAGTAGATCAGGCCCTTAGGACACAAGTTATTTTTCACAATTTCCTTGCTGAAAATCTCTTCCCCTCCTCCTGCAAAAGATGCTATTAACCACTAGTTGAGGCAGGAACATGTAATAAGGATACCCATCCCCCACCACCAATTCTAATACCAGCTTCCTGGATGTAATTTCTAGTGGGGAAACTGGGAAGGCGAAAGTGTTAGCACCCTTTCTTGCAGTGCTGTAGCCTGGGTCCACTTCAGGTGGATCTTCAGCTACTTTTAAATCTTGTGGAGAAAATAAACAATCATATGTATTTGATCATCAAACATGCTAAACTGGGGTTTGCACTGTGGAAAGGAACATACTTTTGGGGAGGACTGCTCATGATTTAATGTGCTGAAGATCCCAGGTTGAAACCCAGCATTTCCATGTAAAAGGAGCAGCTGGCAGATGATGGAAGAGACCTCTGTCAATACTTTGGACTACCAATCAGAGGAGACACTACTGGAATTACCAGGTGTAAGGCGATTTCTTATGCTTCAGAGTTGAGAAATTATAATTCATGATCTGAGCTTTCAAACGTACAAGCCAATCATGCTGTGGAGCAGCCTGTCTGCTTTCTTAACTGTGATACATAGCATGAATTAAGTTTTTGTAGCTCATGTAATCAAGATAAGGAAACGTATGCAGATGTAATGAAGCTCAACAGAATTAAGAAGCAATACTGTACAATGCCTTCCTTTCCGACAACAAACAGAGTAATAGAAATGAGTGACAGGAGCACAGCTTAGTGAATGTCCCTCGTATTAATTGCCTTTTCTCATAATGCATTTCATAAGCATCTATACTAATCTTGCCTTAAAATGGCCTATGAGCAGAGTTAGAATTAGAGGGGATAAAAGAGTTTAATAACCATCTGTATAAAGCTTTATTTTCAAAGTGATACCGCAACCCATGTGTATCCACTAGAAGCAAAACCAACATTTAAAATTTGCCAATATTTGTTACAATTAAGTTTTATCCAGTGCCACTATTGAGGATGTGTTGTGGGAACACTGTCAACTTATGCAATCTGCTGATGTGGGCAAGGTGCTGGCAGCAGTACATCTGACCACATGTCCCCTTGACCCCTGTCCCTCCTGGCTTACTAATTCTAGCAGAGGGCAGCTGACTGGTTGGGTCTAGAGTGTAGTTAACACTTCATTGTATGAGGATGGTCCCTGCTGCCTTGAAAGGGGCAACTCCTAAAGCAATTGACTCTGGACCCCTTCGCTAGAGCAACAATCAACTAGTCACAAATAGCTGGTCAGGGGCCTGAGTCTCCCTTGGTCACCCTGATGGATGACCTTTGCAGAGAGCAGGACAGGGAGAGTGTGACCTTGCCTCTGCTTCTTGATCTCTTGTCCATTCACCACGGAATCCCTCTGGACTGGCTCTGGGGAATGGGAATTGGGACCACAGTATTCTAGTGGTTCCAATCCTGCTTTGGGACAGAGTCCAGAGACTAGCATTGGGAAGGTGCTTTTCGGCTCCCTGGGCAGCTATGTTATGGGCTGCCACTTGACGTCATCTTATTTCCAATGCTATTTACTATCTGCATGAAGCCACTGGGAGCAGTCATTGGGAGTTTTAGGGCAGGGTCTATTTCTCCATAACATAACTCAGCTCTATTTCTCTATAACATCTGATTTAGGAGAGGCCATACAGGCTCTGGGCTGTTGCTTGGATGCAGTGGTGAGATGGATGAGGGAAAACAAGCTCAGCTTGGACCCTGGCAAGATGGAGGCACTGTGGGTGAGTAACTCCCATGTCTGAGAAATTGGGTCAATTGCCTGCCCTGGGTGGATTGTACTCCCCTGAAGGAAGAGGTTCACAGTTTTGGGCTGCTTCTAAATCCAGTTCTGTCACTTGAGGTTCAGGTAGCCTCAGTGCCTTTTACCAGCTGCAATTGGTACAATAGCTACACCCATTCCTGGACCAGGAAAGCTTGGTCACAGTAGTCCCGTTATTGGTTACTTCAAGGCTGGATTACTGCAATGTACTCTTGTGAGGCTTCCCTTGCACCTGATTTAGAAGTTGCAGTTAGTACAGAATGCTGCTGCACGATTGCTGATAAGAGTGAGACTTTGCCAGCACATAACACCTGTGTTCAGTGCCAATTTGCTACCGGGCCAGGTTCAAATTGTTAGTATATAAAGCCCTTAGCAACTGGGGACCGGTCTACCTGCAAGATCACCTTATATGCCAATTCAGCCACTTCAGTCTGTAGAACTGGCACTCAATATTTTAGTGTGGCGGCATCTACACTTTGGAACTCCCTGCCTTTTGATATCAGACAAGCACGTTCACTGTGCACTTTTGGCACCTACCCAGATATCTAGAATGTTGGTGTGTGTTTTAATCTGTTTTTAGTTTTTTACTGGTTTTAATTTTTTGTATATTTTAAATAATTGTTTTTCCTGATAATTTCATTGCTTTATTCTTTTTTGTAAACCATTTTGAGGGTTGTTTTCTTTACAATCAGGTGGTATATAAATTTATGAAATCAATCACTCAATCAAATAGATTACATATTCTATAAGTGGCTGGGGAAGCCCAGCCAGATGGGCGGGGTATAAATAATAAATTATTATTATTATTAAGTATTCAATATGCTGTGATTACACCACATTTAAATTACACTGTAGTGCAATGATTTGCATTGCTGCATTCATGACCTGGCAGAAGAGCCAGAAACAGAAGAGCCACTCTGCTGATCCATTCAGGGATTATGTTATTTATCACTTGTGTAACGTATTCAGTGGTAAACGGTTTGTATACAGTAGCTAATAATAATAATAATAATAATAATAATAATAATAAATAATAATAATAATAATAATAATTTATTATTATTTATACCCCACCCATCTGGCTGGGTTTCCCCAGCCACTCTGGGCAGCTTCCAACAAAATATTAAAATACAATAGTCTGTTAAACATTAAAAGCTTCCCTAAACAGGGCTGCCCTAAACAGCCCTTCTCATCTTGCAAACTCATAAATATGAACAACCTAAAGTAATGGTTGACTCCATTGAGTACAGTAAATATAATAAAATTAAGCATGTGCGTTGGATAACTGCTGAAGGAGAACAAAAGTGTGTTCTCTTCTTCAACAGTCCTCACCCCATTTCCTTTTCTAATGAATAAAAGTATATTCCAGTTTAGTTAAATAAAACTTTCAGTCAGCACAACAAATACAATTAACATTTATAAATCACACAGGGCATTTGGGGAAACAATTTTAGGGGATATTGGAGGTAGGAACTGTTTCCAGATAAACAGAACAAAGGAATACACAAGTAATACATTAGGTTTTAATCATAGATCCATGGGTGCTCACAGCTTGTGTAGTCAACAATTTCTTCTGGTGTGAACCATAGGTTGATTTCAATCTCAGCATTTTCTACAGAGTCACTGCCATGAATTATATTTCTGAAAGGGCAATAAAGTTGAAAAGAATTTGATCATTATGGTAATCAAACAGAAAAACATAGAAATAATAGTTTTATTGGCTGTTACGTTTTGACAAATGGACAATAACCCCTCCCCCCATATTAATTGTGCATATACTGCAACAGAGAAGTGTCTTTGCTGGATGTAACGTGAAACCCTTGTGTTTCAGTAATTGTTTGCTACTATAACAAGCTATTTCTTTTCCACTCCTTTGCACCCTCCTAAGACAAAGTGTTTATTTCCCACAGGTGCATATTAAACTGTGTGCAAAGTTTCCAAGTCTTAAATTTAAACCACAGTCCAAAGTTTTTTATAACACTACTTGTTAGACAAGCCTATGGCGCTCAAAGGGAAAAACAATATCGCACAATGTATTCTTTGTAAAGGAACTCTGAGGTGCTACAACAGCAGTGTTTGATGCTTTTAGCAGGCCAGCCTCTCTCCATAACCTGTGCTGCCCCAAGGCCATCACATGCAGTAGCATAAGGAAATGTGGCAGGAGGAACTATGGAAAATACAGGCACTGAGACAATGACAAGGGCAAAAGAAACAAGGGCTTGTCAGGCTTGCTGTAATGTTGTTGGGGAGCTACTATGAGAAGCACCAGCTGTTCAGGTCATAACTATTAATTTACACTCCAAATGTCTTTTTAAAAATACAGTCGTACCTTGGAAGTCAAATGGAATCTGTTCCGGAAGTCTGTTTGACTTCCAAAACGTTTCGAAACTAAAGTGCGGCTTCTGATTGGCTGCAGGAAGCTCCTGCAGCCAATCAGAAGCCATGGAAGCCCCATCGGATGTTCGGCTTCCAAAAATAGTTCACAAACCGGAACAGTCATTTCTGGGTTTGCAGTGTTTGGGAGCCAAAATGTTTGAGAACTACCGTAAGCTGTTCGAAAACCAAGTATGACTGTAGTAGTAGTAGTACCATATTTTCCCGTGTATAATACGCCCCCGTGTATAACTCTTTGCACAGAGTTGTTGAGCATTTTGGGGGGAGGATTGCCCAGGGTTGCTTTTGGGGGGGAGGGGATTGCTCACTCACCCGCCTAAACAACACTTCCAGAAGCCAACAAACGCCTGACCGCTCACCCTCAGAGGCTGCCTATAGCCCGCCCAATCAACAAAAGCCCTTGATGCAGACACTTATCACATGCACTACCGTCGCTGACAATCTCCTGCTGGCGGCAGCAACCAATCCCCCACCCCCTCTCTGAACTACCCATGTATAAGATGACCCCTATTTTTATACATTACTTCATCGAAAAAATCCTTGTCTAATACACAGAAAAGTACTGTACGGTAATAATAATAATAATAATAATAATAATAATAATAATAATAATAATAATAATAAATAAATAGTAATGCACAGATATAATATTTGTATCCTAACTGCATGTAGACTAGAACTAGTTAGCAATTCCATTTTGTAAGACGCCAATTCGGAATTTACCTGCCAACTTGCACACAGAAGTCACCACGAATTGTGCCAGGTTTGGAATCTGCAGGATTAGTTTCTCCCAGCATTACTCTTCCGGTCTTAACTACATTGAGGCCTTGCCATACCTTGAACAACCAAAGAACTGAGATTAAAACGATTGTTGCAGTAAAAGAGTAAAAGTCATTATATCACAATATTCTCACCAACTCCACCACCGTGTGAATAAGACAGCAGTGTGTAAACGACCTCTCGGAATTTACCCCATCAGTGGACAGAGGAAAAAGCAGGGGACCATTTCACAAAATTCTTCCGAGGGGAGGGGGAGAAATTTTCCAACATTTGCTTAAGGGTATGGCTTCCCACTAGCAGTGTAATTTAGCACAGTTTCAATATTTTAACCTAAATCTTTTTTAAAATCTTTTTTTCCCCTGGGTTGGTAGCCTGGTCACCATTTTACACCCTCCATAATTCCCTAGATTATCTATCCATAGTTCTGGGACATTGTGAAACAAACAAAAGGCTGTCATTATAAAATGCTTGAGGAAATTTGGGGAAATGGTATTAAGTGGCCTTCTTCTAGGGTGAGAAAAAGGAATGAATTCAGAAGATTTATCAGAAAAATGTCTTATGAGAAATTTTGACTCAGCTGTAATTAATAGAATTTGGTTGTAACTAATTAAGCTTTGAAGCTTTCCTTAGGCCTGTATGGACCGTGACCAGAACCAAGTACAGTATAGCATTATGCCCATTTAAGCCCCACTGGTTTTCATGGGACTTAGATGGCCAGATTGCATGTGTTGCTCACAGGAACATATGAATCTGGCTCTTACTTAGTAAGACCACTGGTCCATCTGTTCCATCCAGTACAGTTTACTCTGACTATGAGCTATTCTATTTCATTTGGTAGCCTGTGTGTGGGGGGGATCCCCTTCTGCTTTTGTGGCTGAGTGCTGCTACATTGTGTATATTGGTGAGTCAGCCAGCCAAATTTCTTTGCTAAACACCAATAGCCATCACAAAAATGCAAATTTTCAGGTAGAGGGATACCTTTTAACAGAGGCGATCCCCAACACATTGGATCCCAACTTGTGTGATAATTTTATTATCTCATCTACAGTGGTACCTCGGGTTAAGAACTTAATTCATTCTGGAGGTCTGTTCTTAAGCTGAAACTGTTCTTAACCTGAGATACCACTTTAGCTAATGGGGCCTCCCGTTGCCGCCGCGCAATTTCTGTTCTCATCCTGAAGCAAAGTTCTTAACCCGAGGTAATATTTATGGGTTAGCGGAGTCTGTAACCTGAAGCGTCTGTAACCCGAGGTACCACTGTATTGGACTGCTAGAGAAAACATGATACCTTATGTGTAACATATTATCCCTACTAACCAGTAAGTGACAAATTTTACAATGATACGCAGCAAACAACATCTTCCGTTTCTCTCTCTCTGGCCACAGATGCATTGAAGAACATTTACAGTGGTACCTCGGGTTACATACGCTTCAGGTTACAGACTCCGCTAACCCAGAAATATTACCTCGGGTTAAGAACTTTGCTTCAGGATGAGAACAGAAATCGCACAGTGGCAGGGCGGCGGCAGCGGGAGGCCCCATTAGCCAAAGTGGTGCTTCAGGTTAAGAACAGTTTCAGGTTAAGAACGGACCTCCGGAACGAATTAAGTACTTAACCCGAGGTACCACTGTACAGTCGTACCTTGGTTGACGGATGGAATCCATTCCGGAAGTCTGTTCAACTTCCAAAACATTTGCAAACAAAGGCACGGCCTCCGATTGGCTGATTGGCCCCAGAAACAATGCCGACAGCCAAAATGGACGTTCGGGTTCCAAAGAACGTTTGCAAACCTGAACACTCACTTTCGAGTTTGCGGCATTCAGGAGCCAAAATGTCCGAGTTCGTCAACAAAGGCGTTCATCAACCAAGGTATGACTGCACAGGCATTCCATTGCATCTCTCCTCTGAACATAATGTGGGCATACGGTAGTTTAGAATCTCAAAGCAGCAAATATTTTCCTCATTGCACTAATGGAGGGCTAACAAGTCAGACACACATTTTAGATTTTTCTCTAATTACCACTCAAACATAAATAACATGCTCATGTAGTCCCTTAAATAATGTGTGTGTGAAAAGTAAACAAACCATCATGTCATAAAAGCTCTGCTATCTTGTGAACCTTTCATTTTGTGTATTTTATCCAAAGGAAGTTCGTTCCTCCTCTTCTCAGACAGTAAAACACCCATTTTTTCTAAACTAGTACAGGCAAAATACTACATTATGGGCCAATGCAAGTATAGTGCTAAAGAAAAAAAAATGTTTGACATTGTTTTCAACCCCTATTGCTTGTAACACCTTTCAAACTCATTGCTTTATTCCAATATAATCTTAAAGTGCTTAGCATATAGATAGTTTCACAATTAGCAAGAAGACATGTTGCTCAAATCTGCCAGCAGTTTTTGTTGCTGATGGGTGCTTATCCACTTTTACAACAAAGGAGGGGGGGGGGATAAGGAATTGAACTGTACAGTGGCAGTGCCGTTTTGTAGAATCCGAACCTAACGATTGTGGTTACCGTAATTTGAACATGTAGACGTAAGAGGCAGATTCCAGAGTACATTTACAGATCTACTGCCTCCTATTTCCATTCAAAAACTGTTAATTCAAGCAGGCCACTAACTCCAGGTGTACGCTTTGACTTATACAGAAGCACATAAACTGTGGCTGGGTCTGATTTCTATATCCTTGAGTCTCTCCACCTCTCCACTATGCCCACCCACAGTCATAATGTGGATGCCTGCATCCATTGTGAATTATCAAGTATGGACAGACTGTTAGAACCGAGAGATGGCAGAGCCTAGGATGGTCTGGGCATAAGATGCAGTTTTCATCTCTCAGGTAGCAAGATGCTGTGACAACGACAGCATCAGAGCTTGGACAAAGCACTGAAGGGAAGGCAGCTATTTTTGTAATTCTCGCAGGCTTTGCTCATCTAGAAGAAGATAGAGGGTTGGGAGGGGTTTTTTTTTTTACACTCGTTAATATTGCTGCACAGTTGCTACTTTTAACGAGCAATTGCTATGGGACGATGGGAGTTATCCCAAGGCAACAGTGCAGTTTTGCACATGTAACCTGTGTAGTTGCTATGATCACTGCTTATTCTTATTTCATTGCTATGTGACGATAAGATTCTAATAGTGGTTATCTAAATGGGGCCATAGTTTGCCAACCTTTCAAAGATCTGGGGTTACAATTAGATTAATTGGCCTTTGGCTGATTAACATTCCATGCCCTTTTAAACATGTTTGTGGGAGGGCGTTGTTGGTTGGTTTTCATTTTCATTATGCGTTTTGTGTTCTCATTTTGTATTTTTGTGTCGTGAACTTCCCTGCAATCTTTGGCTGGAGGACGATATACAAATTTAATTAATTATCATGATTAGAATCATAGAATCATAGAATCATAGAATCATAGAGTTGGAAGAGACCACAAGGGCCATTAGTAGTACTAATATTGCTAACTCTGAAATTCTCCATTTGAAAATATATTAAAATGGCAGTCTTTGCTTAGAACTTTACTTTCTATTTAGGCAATCACATTGTGTTACATTTGTTAATCATATTTTGAATCTGGGCATTATTTAAAGTAGTCTCTTTTTATTCTATTTAAGGAATGGAAGCACTTCCACATAAAAATGTAGAAGTTAGGCTCTTAGTGATATTGTGGCCTTGTCCATTATTAGTATCTGAGGTTGTTTTTATTATTATTATTATTATTATTATTATTATTATTATTATTATTATTATTATTCAGAGGTTTAGAACAATCATATTGTTTTGTTTCCTTCCACAAGAACACATATAGCATATATTCTGAAGATGCAACCAAACTGCATCTCTTTTCTCAGTGCTTGCTGCATAAAGTTCATTTGCTTTTTAAATAAATCAAGGTTATTTGCTGAAGACTTACCATGGCTACAACAGGTCCAGAGTGCATATATTTAACTAGCCCAGCAAAGAATGGCCTATCCTTCAGGTCACTGTAGTGTTCACTGAGAAGATCTTCAGAGGCCTGCAGGAATAAAATGCTTAGCATAAGAACTTAAGAGCATCTTATGTCAAATAAAATTAACTACAAGAGTAGTATTAATCCTTAAATTGCACGCTTGCTTGTCAAATATTGGCCCTAGCACTTTATTACAATATTGGTTTAGCTGGCTAGTACAGATTTTAAACAATATTTATTTTGGTTCATTCAGCAAGATGATTTCCACTCAAGTTAATTGAACAATGCATTTGCACCTCCCAGAAAATCTGAAGCATTAACTTTAAAATATACCTCTAAGGACACACCTTTCCGACTAAGGACAGCTGCTTACTAAAATTAGAGTACTCAGCGTGGCTTTACTTTCTGCTAGATATTGGAAAGGATCCAAAATATTAAGTTATATTGTAAAATACTGGATCAGTGGTGTAGTGGAGCAGGAATGAAATGGGGCTACAGCACAGTTCCAGAACATTTCTTTCAGAGCAAGAATCATAACAATAGCGGCCAAAATTCCAGGGTAATTGACAGACCCTCTGGCAAGTGAATGAGGCGATAAGGAGGCTTTTGAATTTTACTACAGTTTGTGACATATTAATATAGAGGAAATCAGTGAATAAGGATTAATATAGAGGAAGTCTGAGAATCAAGCAGATTCTTCTTTCTTTTTGGGGAGGGTACTTCTTCCTTGGAGGGGTGAATACTTCGTGCTAGCAGTATCAATGGAAACATTTATTTGCAAAACTGTTTGCATTCCTATTAAAGTTACAGTTCAGTGAGTTTTAGAAGCTGAACCTATGCTGTCGGAAGTAAGCAGCACTGAGTTCAATGGAGATTTTCCTCAGGTAACTATGCAAATGATTGTAGTCACTACAAATGTCTCATTGGGGGTCTGAACCCGGGTCTCTCCAACATGCTAACCACTACACCACCCTGGCCTGGGTTCTAGGCATTGCACCATAATGCACTCTGTATGCAATGAACTGGATATTATGCTATGTACTGCTGAGGGGTATGTATAGGTTGATCGACAGGTCATCAACCCAGCCACCTATATTTGTGGACTCTCCTTGGGGTCGTAGCTACGGAGGCTGCAATGTGCTGCAGTTCAAAACTGACTACTTCAAATTTATTTCTGTTCAGAGTCCGCTTTGAGAGGCACACAACAGACCGACAAACAACGCATGGCAATTCTGCAACAGAAGAACAATGCTTGGCAATAACTCGACAGAAACTTACATGCATGAATTTCATGGCTACCAGTTTGAATCCCTTCCTTTCAAATCGCTTGATAATTTCTCCCACCAAGCCCCGCTGTACTCCGTCAGGCTTGATGGCGATGAAAGTCCGCTCAGCAACTGAAGCCATTATCCTACTGCAATAGGAAAGCAGCGATATGATCAAGATCTAAATCCTGCTATGGCAGAAGTCTGGAGGGTTTAAAAAGTCTCAGTCTGTTGCAGCATTATGCAGTATTAGACTGAGGACAACCCATCAGTTAAGTGGATTAGGCGCAGTGTACACACACTATTCATCTTACATCAGAGGATAACAAGCACAGCAGTGGTCCCACAAATGTGCCAAATAGCTGCATATACAGTCAGTTTAGCACTGAAGAATATAGAAACATTACAGTCAGTTAGAAAGGAGTTATATCACAGGTGTACTCCAAGTTACACAGCAACTGAGATTTGGCGTAAAGAAAATGGATAAAGCCTGGTTCATAATTTGTATCTGGTTTTACAGGCATATCCATATGTTCTCATAACAAAATTACAACACTGAGCAGATAAATGTTATTCCCCCACAAGGCCCAAGATACTAATTACAATTGTTCAACTTGAAACATGGCAATTTCACTTTCCAAGTAATACAGAAGGGCCATATTTCATACAAGACCTAATGCCTGAATGAGGATTATGTATTTCACTGTTCGTACCAACTGAAACTAACAGAAACCTTATTTTCAGTTTGGTGTGTTTAGGATCAGAGTAGTTACAGATCAAGTTTTTGTACACTTTACTGATTGATTGATTGATTGATTGATTGATAGTCATTTTACTGTAAACATTATGCAACCTTGTAAGCATTTATAGGCTACATGTTTCTGATATACTTACTAAATTATATTTATTATGTTAAACTTCAAAGAGCTTTTCAGAAAAGTGCACATTTTCATAGGATAGATAGAGATACACCTCAAAGGTCATCTAGTTCAACACCTGTATGCAGGAAATGCTCTACTATAGCTTCCCTTACAGATGGCCATTCCAGTCCCTATATATATCAAGGATACAGAACCTTTGGCCCTTCATTGGTTGGTGGACTCCAAATCCCATCTTCCCCTGTGACCACTGACTATGTTAGCTGAGTCTGATGAGAGGTTCCCTATCTCTGCTACAGCTTCAGCAGCAAGAGTTTCCTATAGTTATATTATTGTACTGCATTGCATTATTTACTCATTTCACAAAAAATAGATACTGCTTGACTGTAAAAAAACAACAACTCTTGAAGTAGTTTCCAAAAAGAATGAGACAATTAAATTTTCAGTAAAAACAGTTGAAAACATTTAAAGCATTAAAAAAATTTAAATCAACAGTAAGCTAAAAACAAGGTTTAAACACTTGTCAACATTCTACATATCTGGATAGGCTTGCCTCAACATATGGTTTAAGCATGTGCCAAAAAGAGCATAGTTAAGGCACCTACCTGTGGTCAGTGGGCAGAGTTCTGAAGTGTGTCACCTGTAACAGTGCTAGTTCTGCAGACTGAAGTGATTGACCAGGCCTATATGGGGCATGGTGATCTCGAAGGTGAACTTCGCTTCCCCAGAGACTTCTCAAATGCCCATGTGCTTGCTAGACACCCTTCCCTGCCTGCCTCAAATGCCTACACACTGCCCTCTAAGTATACTAATTCCATAAGCCTTCTCCTGCCTTCATCTCACGCTGTCATCCACATCCCTTTTCTGACATCTTTTGCAGCACTGCTGCTTCTGCCACACCTTATGACCTCTGAGACACCTCCGTCTTTCCCCCCAGCATCCTGGGGCTCCTTGAGCCATGCCTCCCACCCAGTTGTGCACCCGTACCTGTCTGCCTGCCGTTGTGAATCCGCTCGTGCTGGTGGCTGTGGTAACACTGTCGCTACTACAGCCCCCAGCCTGGCTACAGCCCAGCCTCACAGTGGGACTCCTTCAGATACATTCCCTTCTCACCATACCCATTAGCTGCCTTAGGTCTTCAGCTTATTGGCAAAGCAGGGACAACTTCCTGGCGCTTTGGGCGCCATCTGCCGCCGGCTTCAGAAACTGCTCCACAAGTTTCTCAGACTGGATTGCTGGCATCCATCTGTCTTGAGACAGACAATTGAGAGAGCCTTGGGGGTGAAGTTAGCAGCACTGCAACAAACTCCCCAGGGCGCAAGGCTGGAATAATAATAATAATAATAATAATAATAATAATAATAATAATAATAATTTATACCCCACCCATCTGGCTGGGTTTCCCCAGCCACTCTGGGCGGCTTCCAACAAAACACTAAAATACAATAACCTATTAGTAAACATTAAAAGCTTCCCTAAACAGGGCTGCCTTAAGATGTCTTCTAAAAGTTTGGTAGTTATTTTTCTCTTTGACATCTGGTGGGAGGGCGTTCCACAGGGCGGGTGCCACTACCGAGAAGGCCCTCTGCCTGGTTCCCTGTAACTTGGCTTCTCGCAGTGAGGGAACCGCCAGAAGGCCCTTGGACCTGGACCTCAGAACGATGGAGGTGGAGACGCTCCTTCAGGTATACTGGATCGAGGCCATTTAGGGCTTTAAAGGTCAGCACCAACACTTTGAATTGTGCTCGGAAACGTGTTCTCGGAATAGTGTGTATGGAGGTCCTGGGCTGTCCCTGCTGGCCTCGTTGATATGGTCCAAAGTAAAGCACAGCAATATGCTTGGCACTAGTTGGCTGTAGGATTTGCAGCAGGAGCTGTACAAGGCACCATCCAACCAAATTGGGGACTCCACTCCAGATTTGTGTAGGCTTTCCTCCTTAGCATTTTCTTCTCCCAAAGATATCCTGCAAGGCAGCGGAGGTCTAGGATCAGAGTTTTCCTTTTCCTGGATGGGCCACCTTTCCAGATTGACCAGCCCCATCTGCCCCTTACTTCCCTCTACAGCACATAGAAGGAATAACAATAGCAATAACAATAATGATATGTTAAAGGCATTCTCACCCACCTGGAGATTCAAGCCTTCCCACTGTTACCCAGGAGGGGGGAGCAGCCAGGTAAACCTCAGGACTTCAGGTTGGGCCCAAGGGCTTGTCAATCCTACTAGAGAGTGGGAGTATCTTTATCCTGATTTTCTCCCCACGCACAAAGTTTGTGAAGAGACTAGACAACATCAGCTATTTATTGATCTGATGCATTTGCAGGGAGGTTATATGCCATTAATGGATTAATTAATCACGTTGTTGTTTACTTTATTTTCCCAGTGCAACCCAAAGCAACTTACAATAAAACATTATGTCAAGCAACTGTTATTTCATACTTTCAGTGCATTTCCCCATCACTTTCCTTATCGCAAAGAGAGAGAAAAAAGTTTTGGAGGGAAGCAGGTTTGTTGATCAAAGGCACCATATTAACTTTTATTTGCTGCCATGTTCTTGAATCCCACTCAAAACTAGCAGCCTGGAAGCACCCTGAATCACCAGGATCCTATTCCCTCTTTAGCATCCTCACAAGCTGTTTGTTGTCACCTTTCCACATTGCATAGTATTGATATAATTTTAGTATCTTCACCTCATTTATCCCTTTGCTGCTTGCTTCTTTATTTGTACTGTACTTCAGCCTTTTGCCATTTGTCTTTTAATCCAATAATTGGATTGATCCTTGGTCTTTTTTTCTCCTTCCTGTGGTTGCCCTTGATCCTTTTATCCTCTGCCCTTTAACACCCAAGCTGTGATTCCAGACACACGAGTACCAGCATTTTCAGTGTGGCTGTTCCTACTAATAAAAGTAATGTCACCACCATATCTCTCTCTCTCTCTCTCTCTCTCTCTCTCTCTCTCTCTCTCTCTCTCTCTGCATCCAGTGTATATATTTCCTTCCTATCATTTTAACAGAGAGAGAAACCTAAAATGGCAGATTTTCTTAAATGCAGACTTCCCATTTCTAATAATCTGTCAGTATTTTTCACCCAGAACTGTAAAAAGAGTCCTTATTGCTTTTGCTTACCATAGTTGTATCCTGCATTTTCCCCAGTTGCTCTGGAGGGGATTGGGGATTAACCATTTCCACCTACACACTGTGGTCCTGATGAAATCCATGCCCCACTGAAGCTGCCATTGGCACCAAAGCACCCTTTTAGAAATAAATCCTATTTATGCGGAGAGCGCAAGCAAATCCTGACAACTTATGGCATTCACAGATTTCCAGTGGTACAGTAGAGGTCCTTAGCTGTCCCTCAACTCAGGTTGATTTGAAGGAATAATAATAAAAATAAATAATTTTATTATTTATACTTCACCCGTCTGGCTGTGTTTCCCCAGCCACTCTGGGCAGTTTACTGCATATCTAAAAACATAATAAATAATAATTTGGAGGAGCCTCCTCTTTTCTAGTCAGATCAAAATTCAGTCTTCCATTGCAGACTGTGCAGTTTGACTCTCTTCAGATCCAAGAGGGCCATATCCAGTGCTTCATCTTCTTTCTCTCCTGTACCCTCCAGCTCCCCACTCCCCAAAATCAGACTTGGGGATCCTCTGGAGCAGATTCTGGAATATATTGTGGGGTGGGGTGAGGGAGAGGAGAGGAAATGGAAGCAGTGGATACAACCCTTTATAATTATTTCTAAGTGACAGAGGTATGAGTCAGAAGTACACATGATGCCTGTAAAGCACATTTGGAACACAATATTTCCCTCAAAGAATTATGGGCACTGTAGTTTACCCTTCACAGAATTACAATTCCCAGCAACCCACAACATACAGTGCCCAGAATTATTTGAAGGAAAGAATGTCCTTTAAATGTATAGTGTGTACACAGCCCATGTGGTAGCCGGCTTGTGAGAGAACAGACCCTTCATGTCACTTTTGGACAGAGATGTGTTTTCACTCATTTCATTTCAACCACAATGAAATCATTGTTTATTTTTTTCTGCTCTTTCCTTTTCTGCAGTGAAAGGCTATTAGCTCCTATCTGAAAGCCACCTGCTGCTTATTCTGGTAGCATGACCTATTATTGGATTAGAGCATGACCTGCCCCTGATCTAGGGTCATCCAGATTTGCTTTCATTCTACATTTCTAGGCACAGGTCTGTGCTTTAAAGCTCCCTGTCTGAGCATTTTTTAATTATTATTTTTTGGCCCCAGCGCTTTCCCCATGAAAACCTGCTCT